TCTTATATATCATATCATATCATATCACTGTGGCATTCACTTAATCACCATGGCATTTACTTAAGCAATGCCACAAAAAATGATGAAAAATAAGGCCTGGTCATATGATGCCTCAGCTTACAACTGCAAAGACTTATGACCATAATTCCAAATTCAATTACAGTTGTAAATCAAGGACTGCTTGTATAAACTTCTGCAAGTGGTGTCAGCAGAAGTCTTATATTGTATTTCCCATCATCATCACCTTTTCATAGCAATATTCAGGGACATTTTGGCAAATAATTCCATTCTCCTGATCAGTTCCAGAATTCAAATTAAAACATCAAAATCATGTTTGAAGATGATCCCAAAGGTGCTTTTTCAAGAGGCAACTGGACTTTCTTTGTTTTTCCTTGAAGACGTTTCATTTCTCATCCAAAAAGCTTCTTCACTTCTGATGTCTTTGAAATGCATTTGAGGAAAAACAAAGAACGTTGCTCTTGAAAAAGCATCTCTGGGAAAACCATGACCTGGATGACTGAGAATCTTCATAGACATCGTGCTTGAAGATAGCCACTGAAATATAACTCAGAGTGATTCTGTAAGAAAAATAGAAAGAAAATATAAGGTTTCTATTGGCAATGTTGCAGAAGTTTACAGCTTGAGCACAAAACCAAATTGATATTTCCTATGTAATATGAAATTATAATTGCATCATTTTGTTAAGATGACTTTGTATCATATTTATTCACTTTTTTAAAGTTTCTTATAGCCCACATCCAGCCATTCAGGCCCAACCAGGATAAGGTGGCGATAATTAGTTGCCTCACCAGCATTTTGGAAAACTATCAAGGAAAGTTGATTTCCATGTCATTGCTGTAATGAAAAGTACATATAACTAAAATATACAGATGATAAATATTAATGTTTTGCTGCTATTGTGATGCCAAATGTGAAGCAGCATAGTCAGGTTAAAAAAACAATAGAGGGACTACCGTACCTTTTCAGAAAATGGCAAACATGTATATAGGCTGAACCCATGAAGACCAGAAAGATAAAACTCAGACAATATCCAGTGAGAGAGTTCATATGGATGCATTTTGAAACAAGGAAATTGGAACAGGAAACTGGAGATAACATCACAAAATGTGTAGAAAATAGTATTCTAGATGGGATGCTTACTCATAAACACAGTGGGCTGCTGTAACAATCCACCGTGGGGTAATGACTGACCCCCCACACAAATGATATCCTTGAAACTGAAGGCTGGCTTGCCATGGCCATTGCTGGAGCAGGGACACATTTCCACCGACAATACGTGGGGAGTACCAAATTCTGGTACCACATGCTGGCAGAATGAAAAAATAAAATCACTGGCATATGCCGGTCACTATAAAATGCTGATTCTTAATTTATCTAATAGAAAAGATTAAATCTTTTTAGTTCTGAATAATCCTGAATTTGATGATTTAGATATTATTTATGTAAATAGTTGTTGCTGTTATCCTTATTTTGTCCTTATCATTTTAGGTGACTGCAGTTATACCAAACATGCTACCACCAGAAGGTTCTCCTCCATAAGTTTCACAGAAATTAATTGAAACTGATAATCTTCTTTTGTATAGCTGCCCTTCATTAAAACTAAACTTGCACATAATGATTTTTTTCCAGTCTTTATACTTGAACATTTGCATTCTTCCCTAGTTCATGTGAGGAAATTGGGTTAACATTCTATACCATTTTCCAAATCACTTACCTAAACATTTTAAGACAATTACATTGCCTGAAATACATTCTTCTCTGAAATAGAAAAAAGTAAAGTCTATTACTTGTTCTTCCCTGCCAGCTTTATTCATCAAAATACCATTTGTTTAGTCTATAAGTTTAAACCAGCCTTCCTAAATTCATCCCTTCCAAATGTATTAGGACTACAACTCTCAGAATTCCCAGATAGCTTTCATTATGTTGGCTGGAAATTCTGAGAGTTGCCATCTTTCTTTCTCTTTCTTTCTTTCTTTCTTTCTTTCTTTCTTTCTTTCTTTCTTTCTTTCTTTCTTCCTTCCTTCCTTTTCATATTTCTTAATTGCCCATCTCCCTCGGAAATAGACTCAAAATACATTTGAAAGGGACTAGATTGGCAATGATTGGTTTAACAAGAAAGATTATTGGCTCAATCTTGTAAATATTTTGTCAGCATAGTCTTCACCAACAGCAATATGAGTTCATCACTGGAAGTCTGAATTTCCATATATATTTCCACATAGATATATGGAAAGAGATACTTAATTTAATATATGAGCACTTCCTTTCCATATTAAAGACCCAATAGGGTAAAATGGAATCTCTCAGATGTAAATTATTTGGTGTTCTGATCCTAAGAATGTCCAGATCATGAATAAACTATATACATGATTTTGAATATGAGAGAGGTCACATTACTTTACATGGACATGTATTACAATTAACTCCAGGAAGAGACTGGCCATTTTAATAAACTCATTGCTACTTGTCCCCTGCAAAGGCTTAGGAATGAGAATTGAAATGAATTAGGAGTTTAATTTTAGTTGTTCTATTCAATTGAAGACGGGAAAGCATTTTAAATCAATGAACATTTCCTTTAGAACAGGAATCAATGCATATTACCAATTTGCCAATTGAGAAATGGTGAAGGACCAGTAACACATGGCATCTTATCTAACAGCATTATGTGATGGTTCATACATGCAGATAATATAGGTTTAAATTCTGCAGTTCCATGGAAGCCCATGGAGCCCGTTTGCATGTCTTTCTGAAGCTAAGTATCTGAAACATACCGTAAATCAGTAGCATTTTGTGGTGATGTGAGTTGATCAGCTGATAACCAACGATTTGCAGTAACAAAATATTTCTGGAATTCATTCTCAATGGCAGCCACTGGGAAGCCAGATGAACTTACAAAACTGTAGAAGGTAAGAATTAACCAATATGTTCCAGTACAATCTTTGTTTAACTCTTATGTATATTTAAGACTTTTTATATTACCTCATTTTTTAAATCTGGGATAGACTATAAAACAAATCTAATGCAGAATAGCAAATTTACAACCTCCTCAGAAAGCTGGAGTTTCATTCTTATCAGCATCCCCAGCATCTTCTCCATATATTACAGCATCAGCATCCAATTCTTCCTTTTGCAGCACAACAACTACTTTATAGTGTCCCCTACTCTGCATAATTGTAAACATTGCAAAGAGAAGACCTACCTCTCCAGTGCCATATAGTGTCCTGGCAGATCCAGTGCCATATAGTGTCCTGGCAGATTTGACATAATTGTCAGCAACACCAAGCCTGTTGCATTTTGTCAAAGTTTTTCTTTTGAATATCTTCGAAAATTGTGTTGTTGCTTATCAAAATCAGTGATTAAAAAAGAAGCACCAAACGCAAAAGCTAATTCACTATATAGTATAGCAAAAACTTTCAAACTACATCTTGACTCATTTTGTTTCCATTGTGACTTTACAAAATTGCTAAGTAATACCTTGAAAATCCTAAGTATTTACATGTAACATTCCCATAGTTGTCTTTCCAGCCATCGGAACACACAGTCCGCCAAGTTCCGAAACTGAACACCTGCAGCACAGCCCTTTTGCCGCTCAGTCTGACTAAGGAGACACAAAAAAAGTCACCAGGTGTTTAATAATAATTATTGTAAGGACAGGACAACTGCAGCGGCTAAGTGCTTCTTGCTTTTCTCTCTTTACACTATTTGGGTAAGACCTCCAGTAGACTAGTTCAGGAAGTAAAATATAATACTGTGCATAACTTTATTATGTGATTTTTTAAAGAAGTTTTTGCAATCAATGCTGCTTCTGGAATAAATGAACCTTCTTAACATTTGTCACCCCTTTGTGGCAAGCTGGATGAAGGAAACAGGCTCCATAACTAATATTGGAATACTACTTTATTAATAAATAACAGAAACTTGAAAATATACAGTAGCTACTTTATTCCTCCTTTCCTTTTAAACTCAAGAGAGTAAAGAAAAAGTGGACTCAGTTTTTTATAATGTTTTCTTCCTGTCTTGAACTTAAATCACTTTGCCTTCACATAGTTTCTTCAAGGTCATCTCAACAGCTCTTTCCACCATTGTATAAAATGGTAGTTTTTCTGCACATGCTCAGTTAAAATTGTAGTTTCTGATGAGTGCACAATAAAGAAATGTATTCATATTGGCAGGAATGTTAAATTCTTAAAATTAAAAAAAGACTCACTGAGAAGGAAACATTGTATGCATTTTATTATTTCCTTCACAAAAGGGTCCCATGGAGCTAATACTTTTCTCCTTTTAGTAATGTGGAATATTATCTACAGCTCGAAACTTAATATGGAAATTTCTATATGTTGGCGTAGTCATTCTTTTTCACTTCAAAACAATCCTTGATGGGAAATAGCACATAACATCCATAATAAAACTGAATGTTACCACATCTGTACTCATCTTCTCCGTCTTTGCAATTGAAGACGCCATCACACCTTGCTGTTTGATCAATACATTTAAAGGAAGATCGGCACTGAAACCTCCCGTTGCAATTGAAATAAACTGAAAAAAGCATATTGTATTAAATTGACACAAGGTCGAGATTTATTTTAAAAAGTACAAGGAAAGAGATGCATAAGGAAGAAATGAAAAAGGGTACATTGAAGAATCATCTGTGGTTACAAATGTTATTATGCTGTTCATTCAAAATACCATCTACAATGAAACAGCAACATTTTGATATTCGATTGGCCCTCACAAATTGGAACAGGAATTATGTGCGCAACCTCCCTCTCTTTCTCTGAACATTGGAAAGAAGGAAATGTTATAATTGTTTTGTGATGGAAGCTAAAATAGAAACCCATTCCTTTCTCTAACTTTCTCCATCCAGAGTCTCCTTCTTTCCCATTTGCTTTTCCTCCACGCCCTCATACAGCAACAAAAATCAGCTATATAATGTGAAATGGCTAACACTCATTCACTGTCAATAAAAAATGTTTACATAGACATTTGTGAGCTTGTCTATTGTTCCCCATATGTTTTATAACCCCATATGTTATACAAAAATGTTTACATAAAAATTTGTGAGCCTGTCTATTGTCCCCCATATGTTTCTGTACTGAAAGCTTTTTGTGAACCATAAATCTTGGTTAATTATTTTCCCCTAGTTTTTCTTAG